TCCTGACCCCTGAGGCTCCTTCCCTTTCTAAACCATTCTAACACTTACATACAAACCACTTTGAGAGACGGAAAAGGCTTTTGTATTCTATTCAGGGGATAAGGTAAAATGGTGGGAGTTTTCTTTCCTCTTGAAGTGAAAATTGTAGATTTTATGTAAGACCACAGTAAAAAAAAATCTGACATTTCTACTCTGTGAGTCTGAGCTAAAGCTGAGATTTGCTTTTGAAATATGAAAGTAAACTGTTACTAGCTCAATTTAAGTCTGTAGGATTTATATTTATATATAACCTTTAAAGTTCTCCCAACTTCTCACCCTGGAGAAAAGAAGAAATTACAGCAATCTTACTTAGGGCTGGAAGTCTAGAGAGACACTAGTTCTGGGTTAATGGAAAACTGACACTGTTTTGCCTAGGCTTCCAGCAGCTTCCAGCAGCTTCAACTGATGTGAACTCTCACACCCAGGGACACAGTTATGAGTCTCACATATTAAATTGAGTGCTTTTGTGATCCAAGCTCAATTATGATTCAGTTTTAAAAACGTTTCTTCATGGTATTTTTAAGAGCACTATTTGTTTTTAAACATCACCCTTTCACAGTCCAAAGCAACTTCTTAATGCCGCTATTGCTCATGGCAATAACCCATTTCCATTCTCTGGAGATGACTTTTCAGCGTGTTTCTCCTTGTGCTGTATGTATCCAGTCCAGTGTGCAGGCATGTGGCTCTCCCTGTACACCCGCCACTGTCCCTGCCCTCTCCTGGCCCCACAGAGAGAGCCGGGACAGAGTAGGAGGCATACAGTGTTCGCATTAGAAGGCTCCTAGATTTCATCTCAACTAATTTGAATTTTTGCAACCCCCTCCCCCCATTTATTAATGTTGAAGACCCTGAGGAATGGTTGGGGCGGGGAGGGTGGTTCACAAAGCAAGTAGTAGCAAAATGAAGCTCGGGCACAATGGAGTGAGTCTTAAATGATTCTCTTAGTTTGATTTCCCAGAAGCAGCACAAGGAACACAGGTATAAGTGGTTTATTGGCCGGGCGATCCCAGGAAACACCAGCAGGCACATGAGGAAATGGATCAGGAAAGGGGAGACGGCTATTTAGGACGTGTTCATGGACAGGTTAGCGCTGTGGGCCTGTAGGCCACCAGGGCTCCAGTCCCTGAGAACCTCTGGAGATGGTTCACGACAAGCCTTGGACTTGTTTGGCCAACGCTTGTTTGTCATTGGTTGAGCATTGCTCCCGCTCTTCCTACCCCGCACTTCCAGCCTGCTCTGTGCAGGGGGCTACGCAGTTTCATGCGGCCAGAGAAAGCCGTCGCAGAGAGTTGCAGGGCTGTGTGCAGGAAGTCACCCAGCAGGCAGCACTGGTGCAGGTCTGGGAGACTGGGAGACATGGGTGGGACAGTGGCTGCCTCTGCCTCAATGGTCACATGAAAATTTCTCTCCTGTCTCTGGTCAGTAAACCTCAGAGCTCTGCCTTAGAGGTGAGAGGCTGAAACAAAACGTGATTTATAAAGGAAGATTAAATATGTAGGGTTAGTATTTGCGAATGAGCAAATACTATCCCTATGTTATGGGAACTTACCATGCGCATTTGCACCTCCCACCTTTGCACATGCTGCCCCTCCACCTTGTATGGCTCATCCTAGAAACCTACTCACCCTCTGAAGTTCAGCTCCAAAATGAACTTGACTGTTCGGTTGCTCTGACAGCATGCTGTGCCAGCTCAGAAATAACAGGACTACGCAGTGTCCGTGCCTCCTGTGCGCCCACCTCGGCTGCTACTATTAGTGGTAATAGTAGCTAATGTTTATTGAATTTAATTATGACTTTATGTGCCAGGCACTATTTAAAATACTTTATGTTAATTACCTCACTGAATCCCCTCAGCAACTCTATGCAGTGACTGCAGTTAGCATCTCTATTTTGTGGAGAGGAGACAGAGAGGTGAAGCAAATTTCCCAGGGTCATGTAGTTAGCAAAGGGGCAGAGCTAGAAGGTTCCAGAAGGTCAGGCTTCCAAGTCCCTGCTCTTAGCAGCTGTACAGAACAGCCGATCGTTGGCTGCGGTAGAGAACGGGGCCCAAGGACTGAACTCTGGGGATATTTCTAGTGGTTTTTATAGGGCTTCCTGCTAGACTGGGAAGCACTGTAGCAAAGCTCACAGGGGTAGGACACACAAGATTTATATTCTACAAAGACTGTATAGTGTGCAGGGCAAATTGGAAGGGGAGAGCGTGAACACAGGGATGATGACAGTCACGGCGGGCACAGGGACCTGGGAAAGAAAGAATGAAGTTCCAGGGTTAGCATGGAAAGAATGAAGTTCCAGGGTTAGCATGAGGTAGCTCCCGTTCACCCCCCTCACTGCTTGCCAGCACAGCGGGGCTGCCACTCCTGGGGGTGCGGGTGCGGCATCTGGACAAAGGGGCTGAGCAACCGGGTGCAGCCTGAGCCCTGAGGAGGGGTCACACACACCAAGACGGAGGGGTACTTTTGCTCATTTGCACCAAGAATCCAGGTAGCCTAGCGATGGCAATCCAGACGTTTTGTTTTATTTCGTTTTATTTTATTTTATTTTATTTTAGAGAGAGCATGCAAACAGGGGAGAGAGGCAGAGGGAAAGAATCTTAAGTTGGCCCCATGCTCAATGCAGAGCCTGACACAGGGGTGAATCCCACGACCCTGGGATCATGACCAGAGACGAAATCAAGAGTAAGACATTCAACAGATTCAATCACCCAGATGCCCCCAATCCAGACATTTTAAGTTACCTTTTGTTTCCTGATTGTGTCATGCTTTCCCCCCACCACTGTGTTTTGAATATTTGCTTTCCTCTGCTATGGATACTGTTTCACTCATTCCTTAATTTATTTTTTCACTTATTCATACAACACATTCTTTTTAGCACCCACCACGTGCCGGGTACCTCTGTATTTGACAGTGATTTGGTGGGAAAGCTTACAATCTAGGGATGAGATGAATATTAATGAAATTGTTATACAGATATGTCACTCTGACACTATCTTTGAAGGTAAAATGGGACCATGAGACTATATGCTGGGTGCTGGGGACTTATCTGCTCTGGAAGGCAAGTGGCCATGGTAAGGTCACCACTGGGACAATATGGTTTCCCTTAGGATTTGCATGACTTTTATGCTGACGTGAAGAACAAATAAGAACTAACCAGGAAAAGAGGGTAGAGAAGGCGACTGACTACCCTTCCTGCAGCCCTACTATATTTGACAGCGTGCTCATGCACCCCTGGCCTGGAGGACAGAGGTGTGGATCCAGGCAGGTTCAACAAAACAAAGAGAGGGGACTCTGAGGAGGAGGTCTGTAGGATGGGGAGAGCGCACAGGGAGGAAGGAGCGAGCACCCCCAGGGCAGATGGCAGGTTCGAGCTTGGAAGACCTGTGGGGGCCCCTCCTAGCAGGCCGGTGGGGAGCTCTGCAAAAGAGGCGTGTTCAACATTGACTTTTCAATTGTACTTCTGTGGTTTAGGATTCTTGCCCTCCCTTAACCTTCAGTATTATCGGTTGCACACAAATCCTTCATGGGAATAGTTTGGGGAAAAGGTGAGCTCCCTGTAAAGTCAGTGGGAAACAATGAAAGAAGCATGGGGAGGGGAGGTGACACGGATGAAGTCAAAAGGTCGGAGGACACCGAAATTTGGAGGCAGCAGCAATAGAAGGTGTGGTCAAAATCAGCTCTGTTTAAGCCTCAGAGGGCTAGAATATTGTTTATAGTCCATCATAGCAAGTGATTAGCATAGAGTGGTGATCGGAGGCAGCACTGAAGAGGGTCTGATGAGAGTAGGGGCAGTCGAGACACGGAGAGAGAAAAGAAGGGACCTTTTCACTGGGTCCTTGGCAATGGGACAGGGCTGTGTTCTCTTTCCAGACACCTGAGACGTCATGTGTTCACTCCCCGCACCTTGGCTCCCCTCGCCCCCCACAACCCAGCCAGTCACTATGCAAAGCCTACCGGGACCCTGGAGAATCACTAATTCACCATTTATTGAACACTGTGACCTTCCAGGTACAAAGTCACTGGGGACATGCCCTTGGTCCTCGCCCCTTGGAGTACTCAATCTCGTAGGGGAGATAAACGTCACAGAACCGTCGTCAGGGCTGCCACAGAGGTGGGTCCAGAGGGTGTGGCAGCAGGAGTGGGATGGTGACCCGGCTTTCCGGTCACGGTGTTACCCAGGGTAGGTGGGTGCCTGGCACGCAGAGGGAGAGGGGCAGGCGCCCGCCGCCGTGGCTCCAGGCTGTCTGCACTAGCCCTCCTCAGGGCTTATCCTTTTCAACAAGTCATGTCTCACCAGCTGGGACTCTAAATCCCTCAAGGCCACGGAGGCTCTGCACATGTGTGGGTGTGACAGAGGGAAGGGGCAGAATTTGAGTGGCGCCAAGGAGAGCCCTGTGCCCCAGGGCCCCCTCCCAAAGCTCCATCTGTGTGTGGCCAGGCTTGCGCTCCCCCGGCCCTCACTCCCCTGAGGCTGTCAGTGGAGGTAAAGGCCTTCCCCCCAACCCCCCCCACCCCACCCCACCCCCCCGCCTGCTAGAAGCACACGACTGGGGTCGGGCACTGGAGAGGGAGGGGACGGAGACGGAGAAGGGGGGGGATATGGGTGAGCAAAGATACACTTGGGCTTTTATAATGTTCTTACTACCCCTTATATCCTCCACTTTTTTACAAACCTCAAAACACGGATAGTAAGAGCTCCTGAAGAGACGCACCAAGAGGGTGGAAACTGTGTTTCTGAGGTAGGAGTGTAAGGCAGTGTAATGGGACAAGGGCTGGAGTCAGGAGACCCCGCGAGTCCAGCTGTGGGGCCCTGAGCAAGGCCAGGGCCTTCTCTGGCCTCCATCCCTGCACCTGGTGGGTGAGGCGGGCCGGTGTCTCGGCCTCGGTGGTCGCGGTTTCCGGGGCAAGAGGCGAGGAAAGCGTGTGGGCCCTGTTCCTCCTCCTGGGCCGAAGCGGGTCTGCGGGTCTGCGAAGTCACGCAAAATAGCCCCAGAGGAAGACGTTGACGGCGAGCAGCAGCACGGCGTTGACGTCGCAGACGGCGCTCCAGAGCGGCTCCTCGGCGATGCTGGTCAGCTCCCGCCCGCGCGCCGCCGGCTCCGCCGGGCTCTGCGCCGGGGGCCCCAGCCCGCAGAGCCCGTCCCACAGCAGCCGGCGCCACGGCCCGCGCCGGGCTGGGGGGGGGGGGGGGGGCGGGTGACAAGGGGCAGGGGAGGGAGAGCTGGTGAGACTCGGAAGAAGCGGGGGGCGCTGGGCCCCTCCTGCGAGCCAAGCCGCTGGGCGCCCGGCTGGGAGGCGGACGGGGCTCTGGCTCAGCGTCCCGCCGTCCCGCGGAGCCTCCCAGTGACGCAGGGTGGGGTACGGGGTGAGGACAACGGGGTTCATCCCCATTCAGAGCACGAGGGCCCGAGAGATCGTGCCGGACCAGGGCCGCTCTGGCTCCGCTGCGAGAGGCCCTTTGCACGTCCCCTCGGCTTCTCCCTGCGGCGGGTCTTTCCCTCTCCCGTAGGCCTACCGCAACGCGCGCCCCCTCTCCAGGTTGTCCTGAGCATCAGAAGGGCAATGGACGTTTGGTAGCGTTTTAAAAAGGGACCCATGCTGGAGCAGCAGGGAAAGGCTCTGGAAACTGGAATGTTCTCACCGGGGGTGAGGGCGTGAGACGTGGGTCCCCAGCACGGGATGGGGCTGCTCTGAGGTTAAAGGGTAGCAGAGTTCATTAAAAATTAAGTTTAAAAAGAAGTAAGAGTGTATTTTAAGGGGGTTCTTTTTTGCATTAGCAGGTAGCATATTAAAATAAAATTAATATGAAAACCTTTTCACTGAGGTTGAACGGAACCCACATTATCTTAATGACATTGGCACCTGGTTCTTGGTAAGTTCAACGCGACTACAGAGTGTCAGAGATATGAAGACCCCGGAGGCCATCTGGTCTGGCTCCCTCTTTGTACGAGGAGGAAAAAAGACTCAGAGAAAGGAGGGGACCAGTGACAAGCTGCACTAAGCAACGCCAGGCACGTGGCTCTTCAATTCTACTAGCTTTCATCATTTTACAAGCCCATCCAAGCTCTCTCTCCTGATTCTCAGGGCCCGCCTTGGGCCCCACGATGGGCAGGGCATCATGTGCCGATTCTGGGGCCCAGAGTGCCCCTTACTAGGTGGCTCATGGTGAGCAAGGACTCAGTACATCTGAGTGTGTCTCTAACCTGGCTGTATACACTTTTTTCAGCTCGACTCTGCTGTCCTTAACATCTTTTTCATCTTCCCTTTTTTAGGACACAAAATTACACTGCCATTTTGCTGTTTTGCCTGAGGACAGCATAATTGAGCCTTCATCTGCCTGTGGGCCCAGAGTTTGCTTTTAATGGAAAGAAGCAGAAAGCACCTCCCTAGTCTTTTGGGGGAGCAAACCCCCCACAGGGAGAAGGCATTTCTCTGCTTCTCTGAGTCAGGCTCTGCCTGTGGCATGGGGCCAGCCGGGGGAAGGTGCGACGAGCACATGAGTCTGTGGTGCTAGGGTTCAGCTGGAGGGGGGCAGTGCAAGCTGCTCCCTTCCTTCCTAGCTTCTTTCCTTCCTCTTTGTTCTTTCGCTGTCTGCCTTGCCTAAAAGAGCCTGCCCCTCCTCCCTGCCTCGCCTAAAAGAGCCTGCCCCTCCTCCGTGCCGTACAGTTTCGAGGGGCCAAGACTTGCTTCTTGCCGTGATTGGGGGGGAAACGGTTTTGAGACCCCATCTAGTGCATGGACCACAAAGCTTGAGAAAAAGACAAGGGGTTACATTTTGCAGAGCAAAACACGCTGGAACTAATGTGGCAACCGATTAGACTTTGAGCTTCAGTGGCCCATGTGGGCTTTGACCTTGGAAGCTCGTAAAGGATTATTTTCTCCATTATAGTCCGCTTTTATCATGGACTGCTGGCTTTTAACTGCCGCAGCTTGAGCAAGAAGATGTGAGTCTTAGATGTTGGTGGGACCCTGGAACTTACGATGTCATCAGCTCCAGGCACCTGGCTCTTTCTCCAGGCAGGGCCTTCAGCAGGTGAAGGGCGTCAAGAAAGGTGGGCAGTTTCTCAGGCCTTAGGGAAGCACGGGCCCCTCCCCCCCAAGCCTGGGGAAGGCGAGGGACCCGGGCGGCATAGTGCCGCTGGCTGTTCAGGTTCAACAGGTGGTGCTTTGCTGATCTTACCTGGGCTCTCAGCCTAAGTGAGTTATTAAAGATTTGGAAACCAGAGGCTCGGAAGGAGCCCTCAGGGCTCTGCCATATCCAACGGGAGAAGGCCACTGCTGAAGGCACCCTGACTGCACCCCGGTGCCGAGGTTCCCACTAACTAAGGCAGGAAGTAGACTTAGGACTTACATTTCACTGAATTATTAATTTCTGAGGGCAAGAGAAGTTGATGTGGGCCTTTCACTTGGAAACTGATTTAACTTTTCTGACTGTAATTTTTCCTTAGGAATTTTATAATTTAGGAAATCCCTAGGATGTCATTATATTAGAGTTTTAATGGTGTTATTTAATCACACTCCAGAAAGGCTATAGCTGCATCATGTCTTGTGCCAATTTTCCACTTTTAGGTACTGCGCGGACTTAGAGTGAATCTGACTCAGGTACTATTGTGACACTTTTGAGAGCCTCCGGGGGCAGAACTGATCTGGCCCATCAGCAGCTCCAGAAGAATGCCCTGAGGAATGGTGGTTGGTCTGCAGGGACCTTATGAAGACAGACAGAACCGTGTAGAGGCATGGCTGCTCTGCTCCCATGAGGGACAGCGGTGCTTCCGTGTGACTATAGGCAGAATTGGTAAACTCTGCGGGGAATACATAAATAGTATGGGGAGGGGTGGGGACTGTTTCTTTGATGTGCCTGATGTTTCCTTCCATCTGGAGGGAACTCAGTTAGTTTAACACCCTTTGATTTTCTGACCTTAGGCTCATTCTACTCCGGGGAGGTGAAGGGACTTCCCTGTTGGTAGATTTGGGAAGCATGAAGAGGGCATGCTTGGCTGTCTCTCCCTCCTCCCTCTTGGCAATGCAGTGCTCCCAGGGCAGAGAAGCACCTCTGCCTCATGCGGGGCTTCAGCAGAAGGAAGCACGCCTCCCCATGGATATAAAATGAATCTTCCCACCTATCCTTTATTGGTAACAATAAATGGCGATATTTTGGCTCCCATCTGCCTTCTAGTTTGTCTTATTTCTCAAGTGGTTTAATAGCCATGTGGGAAGAGAGGGTGATTTTTTTAGGCATCCCTCAGAGACCCTATCCCCAATGATTCCCAAATGTGGGTCTTTGGGGACCCATGACATGGCCTCTGTCCCCATTGCTCCTCTGTGATGTGTGCCCCCCATCCGGCCCCCCAGCCTACCTCCGTGCTGGTCCCGGTCCTGGCTGGAGTTCTCGGTCTCTCCGCCAGGAGGGCATGCCCCAGGTGGCATCTCTGAGGTCCCTGGTGTGCCCTCCGGGGCCTCCTTCTCCAGCTCAGAGTGGGGATGGTTCCGTGTCCACCACGTCAGACGAGCGAGCTGGAGGGGAAGAAGACACTGCTTGACTCGGTTACCTTTGAGGGGAAGTCTTGCTGTGGGAAAACATGACCCCCTTCACAGGAGGCCGGCAGAGCAGTGAGGAGCTCCGGGAACAGGCACAGGGCCCAGTCAGGAGGCCTGGCTCTCAGCCGAATGCCCGGTCCTTTGAAAATCTGCGCCCCTGAGCACCTGCTCCAGGCTCCGTGCTCGCAGACTGGGAGGAAAGAAGCCAGACAGGGAGGCAGGTGCCGCATGACAGAAGGCTCCCAAGGTCAGGCTGTGGAGGTGATACTGTAAACAGAAGCTCGTAGGCAATGGAGAGTCACTGAAGACTTTAGACAATGGTAAGAGATGCTAAATTATGGGATTTCGAAAGATCTCTTGGAGGGGCACATGGGTGGCTCAGTCAGTTGAGCGTCCGACTTCAGTTCAGGTCATGATCTCTCAGTTCGTGAGTTCAAACCCCGCATCGGGCTCTGTGCTGATAGCTCGGAGCCTGGAGCCTGCTTCTGACTCTGTCTCCCTCTCTCTCTCTGCTCGTGCTCTGTCTCTCTCAAAAATAAATAAACATTTTAAAAAAAGATCTCACAGAGTGAATTAAAGGGATCTCCCCTGGAGGCTGCTGGAAGAGCTGAGCATGACCTACAGAGCATCAGGGTAGATGGAGGGGACGGCGTTTGGGATGTTAAAGAGGAAGACCCACAGGCCTTGGTGACTGACTGAATGAGCCAGGTGAGGACGCAGCAGACCTGGCTCTCAGGTTCCTGCCGTGGGCCATCAGATGGTTGGTGGGCGAGCCGGAAGAGTCTGCCTAGAGACTGCCAGCAGAGCCTGCCTCTGCAGCGTGGGCATGTCCAGGTGAGGAGAAGCACACCTGTGTCCTTTGGAAGAGACTTGACCTCTTTTCTCTTTCTGGCAGCTCAGCAGAACACACAGCAGGTTCTCTGGCTGATATCAACTGGACCTGACGATGACTGTCTGAGCTCTGGACAGCCTCCTTTCCAAACAGGCTTTTTCCTAGCCAGGCAGCTCTTGGTTACATATTGACCCGGGTATCCCCTGCCTTGCCACAGATTCCTACCAATATGTACAGCAGTGCAGGGTGAGGGGCCGTCTTCTGGGGCCCTTCCCGCCAGCATCCAGCAATGCCTCTATATGGTCACGAGAGCCTGGGTTGCTGCTTCCCTTTTAAGTACATCTCCATAAATGTCACCTCAGACTTACACTGTGTGTCATTGGGCAGTATATAGGTGGTGTCACTTTATGTCATGGTTTGAATTTGGATTTGGGGTTTGAATCTTTGGCTAGTGATAGAGAATTGAGTTTCGTCTTCATGTAGAGGGTTGTTGAATTCATGGGCACGGTTAAGATAGCACAGAGACAGTGTGGGGGAGAAGGGTTACAGGCCATATTTGGGTCCCTAAGGAACCCTGACATCTAAGACCACAAAGAAGGCAGAAGAACGATTCGAGGCTAGAAAGACAATACTGGAGGGGAATATATCACGGACGAGAACGGAACATATAATGGACGTGCCCCTTCAGGAGGCAGGAGGTGGTCAGTGGTGTCTTGTCATCCTCAGAACTCACTGAGGATGAAGATGAGGACGTGATTGGTATCTCTAGCAACGAGAGGGTTATTGGGGTCTTGGTGGGAGTAATTTCAGTGGGAAGGTGGGACACCAGCCAGACTGGATGAGACGTTTACAAGAGGTGGGAAGTGGAGGCTGGGAGTGGAGGCCGTTCTGCACGGTCTGCTAATGAGAAGTGGGGTGGGGGTGGGGGGCAGCTGTAATTAGGGAAGGGAGGGGATTTTCAAGTGTGAGACATTTCGGTGTGGGACTGAGAGAGCAGACGATGGAAAAGAAGCGGAAGATTCCGGCTGTGAGGAGAGACCATTTCTGGAGTGCACCACCAGAGAAATTGGCCTCTCTTGGCTCCTCAGAGGGAATTAGTGACACCATGGCTATAAAGTCGTTTTGCAAACTGTAAAGCACTGTACAGGTCAGAGACATTATTAGTGACTTCCACCCAGTGTTTCAGGGACTAGCGTCTGGCATGGGCTATGTTATTGGCTGGATTGTGTCCCTCTCAAATTCATATGCTCAAGTCCTAAGCCCCAGTACTTCAGAATGTGACTATACATGGAGATAAGGCCTTTAAAGAGGTAATTAAGATTAAATGAAGATATTAGAGTGGCCCTAATCAATATGACTGGCGTCCTTATAAGGAGAGACTAGGGAGCAGCTGGGTGGCTCAGTCAGTTAACTGTTGGATGCTTGGCTTCAGCTCAGGTCATGATATTGCAGTTTGTGAGTTGGAGCCCTGCATCAGGCTCTGTGCTGATGGTGGGGAGCCTGCCTTTCTCTCTCTCTGGTGGGGATTCTGATGGTGGGGATTCTCTCTTTCTCTCTCTCTCTCTCTCTCTCTCTCTGCCCCTCCCCTGCATGTCCTCTCTCTCTCTCTCAAAATAAATAAATAAGCTTTTTTAAAAAAGAAGGGAAGAGGAGGGCTCGGGCAGGCACAAGGAAAGACAGGGTGAAGACAGAGAGAGGCATCTGCAAGCCAAGGAGCGGGGCCTCAGAGAGAACAACCCCACAGACACCTTGACCTCAGACTTGTCATCTCTAGAGCTGTAAGAACATACATTTCTGTTGTTTTGGGCCCCAGATTGCGGTACCATGTCATGGACCCCAGGCCAATACTCTGGCTCTAAAGGCGAAAGGTTTCAAAAGACAGCTTCAAAGTCTGAGGGCTGGCAAATCTGTCAGCGTGGCAGAGAGGACTCACTCTGGCAGACTCTCTTTCCTCGTTGACCTGCGTCTTGACTGGCCAATGAATCCCTACTCACTCTTCTAGGGCCAGCTCAGAGTGACCTCCCTGATGTGGGCCCCCCAGGGGTGACAACCCCTCCTGTCCTCAGCCCCTCCCTTTGAGCTTGGTCCTTCTTCACTTTCTTGTGGTAGAGTAACTGTTCGTGCTGGCAGGGACCATTATCTTGGTAATCCTAGCACAGAGCCCAGCACACAGTAGGTGCTCATTGAGTAAATTTCCAACTGAATGAAATACTTTTCACATGGGAATTACTAATCCAATGAGCTCCTCCCCCCAAGGACGGCTGTGTAGCCTCAGAGGAGACAACAACCCAACAATCCAATGGAGTAAAACTTGATGGTAGAATTCCAGATGCGGGGGCGGGGGTGGGGGGGTGGGGGAGGTGTCTGGAGAGCATTTTGTGGGGCCCCAGGACAAGCACTCCACTTGCCTTCCCCTCAGGGATGGGGGTGGTACAGAGGCTGACGGTGACGATGACGATGGCAGTGAGCCCACAGAGCAGGAGAGCAAAGTAGAGGTAGTGGAAGTCCTTCAGCACGGCTGGCCTCCGGTCTACATCCCCGCAAGCTGGAGCTGGGTATGAGAACTCCAGGATCATGCGCAGAAGGCCCACGACCAGGCCAAACATGAGGCCCCAGAAGGCTCCCTATGGAGAGAGGGCAGACATGGGCAAGGGTGAGGTCCAGCTGCAAGGCCCTAGGAAGCTGAAAGCCCCTGGGGTGTTAGAGTGTTTGCAGGTCCACCTTAGTGAGCTCCCACTCATGCCTAGGCTTTGTCAGGGCCGGCAGAGTGGTGCATTGGGAAGGACACAGGCTCCAGAGTCAGACACACGAGGATTTGGACCCTGGATCCATTTTAGAAAGATCGAAGCAATGACTCAACCTCACTGGCCTGGAATTCTCTTGCGTGCAATGATAAGAGGATTTAGTAAATGCTATGTATAGGTGCTTCGTATTCAACTAGAATGGAATAAACTTTTGTAATAAGCAAGGAAAACCAGGATCCCATAGCCTGATTTTCTGTTAATAAATAAAAAATCAGAATAGAGCTCTTCCTTTTTAGTTTTTTAAAAAGAAGAGCCCAGGCACCTCCCCTATCTTGTTTATAACACCAGTTGACCCTAACCTCTACGTGTTCCCCATATGCAAGAGGCAAATGGCTTATGTTTTCAAAAATGAGACGCTGATCCTGATTTCAGGAATTCTAGAATGAGCAAAAATACTTAGAATTCAACTGAGCCCTGCTGTGCGCCATGCTTATCAGCAGGGAGATTCGATCTCTGGAAACAGTAAACACCTTGCTGGGTACTCCCTTGTGAGAGGCGTTCTGAGGTCTCCTTTGCAATGGCTTTGAGCTGTCCTTTGGCTCCTGTGGAGGGTGTCCATGACATCCCTTAGCCCCAGCGGAGTTGGGCCCCTCTTTTCTATGGGGGGAGGGGAGTCCTGGCATCTCTAGCTCCTCCAGGCTGTCAGCTTTCAGCAGCTTCATGAACAGCATGTCCACAGGGTCCTCCCAAGGTCCACACTCCGCTTCGTTGCTGGTATTTTGCCCACATACAGAACTTTATGGTGTCAGAGGGAACAGACTCAGAGGTCCTGCAGTCTGACTTGGGCTTTCACACATGCTCTGCCACGTGTCTGGCACTCTTCTCTTCCCCATTAATCCTTCGGTCTAGGTTCAATGTCACCTCTGGCCCCCTCCCATGTATCCCGTAAGTTAGGTGTCCCTGCCGTCTCCTTTCACAGCGGTTATTACATTTTGTTATTATTTCGTATTGAATCACCTTTCCTCCCATCTGGCCCAGTGACGGCAGACCTACCTAAACCTTGTAAATCATTGCATCTAGGAGCCTCCACAATAGGATCGATGAACGTTTGGTCAGGAAATGAATGAATCAAGACCCGATGCTATGGATGGGGAGGGAGATGGAAGCCTAAATGGGGCAGTGGGCATGTCTAATATGTCACAGAGAGATGCTGGACAGGCCAGCTCTCCTGACCCTCGGGTGTACTGGGAGAGGCAGGTGTCCTGCCACACTCACAGGCTCTGTGACCCGCTTGCAGAAGATGGCCAGAAGGAAGAGGGCAGTGATAGGTGGGGCCAGGTAGCTGGTGACAGCCTGGATGTAGTCGAAGAGCTGCCCGCTGTTGGAGCTTTGGATGATGGGGATCCAGAGGATGCTGATGGCAACCAGGAACACCACAAACAGTCTGCAGGGAGGGCACAGGGCGCCGTGAGGTGTGCTCAGGGCGGCACGGGCGTGGGGTGAGGGGGAGGTCATGCAGAGGAACCAGGAAGGGGGGAGGGAGGGGAAGACATAGGTGCTGAATCAGAGAATGTTAGGAGACTGGAAATGCCAAGATTCTGGAAATGTAGACTGTTAAAATCCCAGAATATCAGAATTCCAGAATCCAAGAAACACAGGATTTTTGAGTTGGATGTCTTTGAGGTCATGTCGCACGCCTGTTCTTCGGGGAGGAATCCACACCTTTCGCAACACTACCCACCTCAATAAATGGCCTTTGGCCTTGGCTTGGGATGCCTTTCCTTCCGGTCTGCGTCCAAACCTTGTGCAAGACAGCGCTCTTCTCCGGGATGGCTTTAACTTCAGGGACTTTTCCCGTCTTTGGGATCCTCCAGCTCTAACCCCTGCCCCCTGACATTGGCATTTAGCTCAGAATAGGGACTCCACCTTCTTTTCCTGACTCCCCCTCAACTGATCCTGAAACAAGTTGAAAAACGTTTCTTGGATGGGTTGGGTGCAATACTGCATATAGCCAGGAGATGGCGCCCAAATCCCACTGATGGATGAAATAAACGGCAGTGAAACTGGGCTAAGTGTGAGGGAGCTCAAAGGACGCTTCTTTGGAAATTTCTCTGCACACCTGTCCTCTCCTGTCTCTTCCCTCACACATTTTCTCTCTCAGGCCCCACTAGAGTGGCAGCTACCACCGTCTACAGGTAGACCCTTAGATGCTCGGGTGCTGTGCACAGGGCTGGGGGCACAGCGAGCAGGTGCTAGGGCTCTACTAGGCAGCAGTGGACAGAAGGCATCCTGATGGAAGGAGCAGCACGTGCAAAGGCAGGAGATGGAAGACAGCAAGTTATTGAAACTCAAGTACCATCAACCAAAAGGGAAGAGTAAACATGTTAGTCCAGAAACCTGGGTCACAGAGCCTTAAATTAGGAAGCAAAGATTTCAGAAAGTGCCCCTTAACCCTGTGTAAACTACAAGCCCAGGGAAGAAAAGGAAACAAGCCACCAAGTGATACTTTGAAAAGCGTAAAATCGAAACCAATGAGGGAAAGTTCAAATTCTTCAGCTTGGTGCCTAAGGCTCTGCCTCCTTTGGAGACAGCCTTCCTAGGGCAGTGGTAGTCTCCATGGAGACCGGCCCGGGGCATCAACAGGCCAGGAGCAGCCCTCGAGGCAGGGCAGGGCAAGAGGCCCCTGGGCCCCCAGCACAAGGTGTGATGCAAGGGGGCTGGACAGGGGGAGTCTGACGGAGTGAATTAGCAGGCTTTCCGTTATCCTGGGATAACGCCTGGAGCTGACCCTGAAGCTCCTGGGGGAGGACTGCTTGCTAACCTGGGGCCCCTCATACAGCTCACCTTTCCCTTCTTACATGCCTGTCAGCTTCTCTCACTTATGCTGTTGCTTACTTGCAGGAGAAAGCCGGACAGGGAAGAGACTTTCTCCTCCTTATTCTGGAGGAGGAGGGACGTCCAGAGCGGGGGAGGGACTAACCTGAGGTCGTGTCGGGAGCTGGCGCTAGAACCAGGCGCTCTGACCGCCCCCGCCCCCACCCGCTGCATCTCCCTAGGGCAGCGGGGGAGGGAGGAAGGGGGGAGGGGAAGGGGAGGGGTTCCGCCTGCGAGTGGGGAGGTGGGGACCCCGGAAGGGGGCGCAGCGCACCTGCCCACCACCATCAACTCCTGCTCCGTAGCCTTCCTCCGGAAGCGCTGCCACACGTCGATGGCAAACAAGGTGCTGCTGCTGTTGAAGATGGAGGTGAGCGAGCTCATGAGGGCGGCCAGGATCACTGCGATCATCAGGCCCCGGAGACCTGGGGAGGGGCGAGGTCTCCCGTGAAGGCCAGCTCTGTTGGGGGGGGGGGTTGGCGGAGGGGGCATGCCTTGGCAGGCAGAGCCAGGAGTCCGGGGGTGGTGCTGGCCATGCATGAGGTTCCCCTCCGTGCAGATAAGGAATCCAGGAGAACCAGAGGCCGGCTTCTAGGTAAGCCCTGCCTTCACCCGCTCTGCCCTCCGCCCTGCTCTATGCCCTTGGGCGAGCCATCCGATCCACCCCTGCCCAGTGGCAGCTCCCTTGTCTGCACCACTAAGAGGCCTGCGGCTAAGTGGTCCTTCAGGTTCTCTGCAGCTTTCACGGCCCAGTCTGGGCATCTGAGCCTGGAGACACTTAGTTAGCGCCCCCCAAAGGGGAGGAAGGTGAGAGTTACTAACGGAGTGTTTTCAGTTTTTGTGCTTTTTCATCAACACTGTGGGACCAGGCTAAGGCCCTCACCTGGGAAGGGTGGCCCTGGGAAGGCCTGGATTTGTTTCCTGGTTCTGCAGGTAACCGACTGTGTGATCTTTGAACTAGTTCCTTCCTTTCTGGGCCTGTTCTGCCCCCTGTGGCAGGAGAGGGTGGATCCCGTTGATGTCTGAGGTCTCTATGACTCCGATTACCAACATTCCAGAAACAGGGCTACTCATGTTTCCCTGGGGAGAGGACTCTCCCTCCGCCCTGCCTCAGCCCTCTTTCCTCTCAGTCCGAGTACTTAACCACCTCCTGGAGGTCTTCCTGAAAGACTCAAGGTGTTCCAAACAAGCCTAGGCCAGCACCTTCCAGCACCTTCTTCCAGGGCTGCTGTTTCTTTCTTTGGTTCATAATATCCAATCTCCACATCAGATCATCAGATGCTCAGTTATCCTCGATGCCCTCTTCTCCCCTGCCCCCCCACCTCCCTCAATCAGCCCCTCTGTGGAGGCTCTGGCCCAGCACCTCCACTATTTCTTTGATTCTTTTTTTTTTTTTTTTTTTTTTTTGATGAAGGGGAGGTGCAGAAGAAGAGAGAGGCTCCCAAGCAGGCTCCATGCTCAGCACAGAGCCTGAAATGGGGCTCAATTTTATGACCTGGGAATCATGACCTAAGCTGAAACCAGGAATGGGACTGAGCCGCCCAGGTGCCCCTGATTCATTTCTTGTTCTGCTGAAGGGAGGGGATGGCCCAACGGAAGAGCTTCCCGCTATAGACCTGGCTCTTTCCCTAAGTCCCCCTCTCAGTGTCACCATAAACCCAGGACCTGGAAGGCCTCTCTGGGTCCCTCTGTCATTCTCATCCCTCCAATGTAATCAGTCATCAAATCCTGCCGCCTTACCTCACAAATATCTTTTAAACTCTTTCTGTCCATCTCTGAAGCCACTGACCTGGTCCACACCACCATCATCCCTCACCCGGACCACTGCAAACCCCTTGTTAACTGTCTCTCTGCCTCCCCTTAAGCTGAGCCCTCCATGCAGCCCAACTCCCTCGTGCTCCGGCCTGAAACCCAGCGTGAAGGCTCTGCTCCACAGCGAGGCGTGGCCACGGCCTCCCCTCCGCCAAGGCCGTCCGTTCCTCCCACGTGTGAGCCACACAGGGCTCCTTCAGGTCACACTTCCTGCTCTCGCTCAGCCCAGGGCCTTTGCACACACAGTCCCTCCTCCCCGGAATGACATTTCCCACACCCGCCTGGCTTTGTCTACCTAAGACGTCCTTTGGGATTCAGCTCCATTTCCTCTCCTCCAGGAAGCCTCTGACATTCCCCCAGGTTGAACCAGGTGCCTCCTTAGGGCTTCTCAGTGCCACTGTGTCCCCGCACTGGTGACAGTATTGTACCCTCTGTGGGCCCGGGTATCCTGGAGATGGGAGGAAGCCCTGAGGCTTGCCTTTTATCCCTGCATCTCCAGGAGTAGAGCCAGAATGGGTGGCTGACAGCGGGGACTGGAGGAGGCTGGGACATGGGAGTGAAGGGTGGTGTGGAGGAGACGGGACTCACCCACGGGCATGAGGGCTATGACCAGCTTGGGGTAGGCGATGTTGGAACACCCCACTCGGGCCCCGCAGATGCTTTGGCAGACGTCAGGGTCTACACAGCCCACCTCATCTGTAGAAGAAATGACGGCCATTAGACCCGAGTCGTCCTGTGCCTTCTTGGTTTGGCCCAATATTTGCTTTCCAGCCCTACAGGGGAGTACTCACTGGTGCCCCGGGCAGAGCCAGCGTCTCTTGTAGAGGCCAGAGGTCAAGGGGCAGGTGGACATCTGGGTACTGTGACTTAGAACTGTCTCTGGTAAATCCCTTGGCCATATACTACCCTGCAAAGCCTGGTGGACTCCAGGCTTTAGGCCTTATATCTGGATAAAAGGCAAACATCCTTGGAAGGCACCAAGAATGCCTTCATTGTTCTTTCCTTTATAAAGGGAAAGTGGGATTTTAAAATGTTCAAATACAAATTTCTTCCACCGCGATACTCATTGTATGTTTGGCCCGCAAAGCCTGACACATTTACTATGTATTCTTAATAGACCTAGCGTGTGACCCCTCCCCCCAGTGCCACACTGCCCTGCTCCTACCCGGGTACAGGGCCCGGCTGATCATGCCAGGCATGACGATGAAGAACATGGGCAGGATCTTCAGGTAGCCCCCCAGCACGGAGCCTCCCTTAGCGTGGGACAGATTCTTGGCAGACAGAGACCTCTGCACAATGACCTAAAAAGGGAGCAGAGGAGGCATGCCACTTAGGTCAGGGGGGCCTCGGCTCAGCCACACGAGAGCCCTGAGGAAGTCCCAGAACAAGTCCCACCCCTCTGTGCATCTAGATGCGTGGTTTTCCCACAGGGAGCCACCCTAGTCTGTGACGGGCCGGGCAAAGCCCAGCGGGGCCTCACCTGGTCTGTGCACCAGCACCAGGTGGCCAGCACTGTTAGCCCGAAAATGAGGCCTGGCCACGGAATGTCTCCGCTCACGGGGTCCCGAAGCATGTGGAAGGCATCAGACCGGGGGAGATGGCAGGTGGTATTGGGGACCGTGGCGTTAGGGATGGCCTCTCTGTACCGCTGCTCCAGGCCTGGGTACCAGCCCACCTCCTGAAAGCCTGTGCAGAGAGACCACAGTGAGTGGCACAGCTCTGAGACCCCATTGGACCCGTCACATGCCCCCACCCCACCTCCCAGTCCCATGTGGGGCCTTGGGGCTTGGAACTGGTATGCAGCTTGGGGATGAGGGAGGAACGTGGGGCTTAGACCCTTAGATTGGGGTATTGAGAAGTCTGCTCTGTGGGAATCCCATCTGGAGATGAGGGTAGGGAGGTGGGGAACATGGCTCTGTGCTCTGGAAAGTTCCAGTCACAGCATGGAGGTGAAAGGCCAAGACAAATCAGATAGCAATTGTGATGCGACAGTGGGTGTATTCAAGTCTCTACCTTACCCAGGAACATGAGGACCAGGGCGCCCCCCACCATGATCACCGTCTGCAGAGCATCTGTGTAGATCACGGCCGTGAGGCCCCCTGGGACCCAAAGAGAGGGCTCATCAGTCAGCACCAGCAAGGGGTTCCCTCTGGCCTCCCGCCCATGCTTGGCCACACTGGGGAGACCAGACAAGACCTGGAGCCCTCTTAGCAGGTCGATTCTAGCCGCCTGCCTTCCCCCCACAGGCTGGTCCCAGCCACTGGCACTCAAATGGAGCTGTCTCTCTCCAGCGGCCCTGAGTACCGCAGCTGCACCTCCTTCCTTTGTGCTTGTTGTCTTTATACCCCAAGACTGTTCCTCTCCTGTGCTGGCAGTTCCATCAGGAATGCCCCCTCCCTCCCCACCAAACGCCATGTCAATTCCTGCATTTGCAAACTGACTTAGCCACGAGCCAGGGGCGCAAGGGCCCAGGCCTGTGTGAGGTGCTTTGTGAGAGACAGAGAAAGGCAGGCTGGTGGCCCTGTCTGGAGCAGTCCCCAGCCACTCTAGGGGCTCCTGGTGACAGTCCCCTAGTCATGCCCCTGCTCACTGTAGCATCCCTAGACGACCTCCCCCCACCTCTCCCTGCCTCTCAGTCTCTGCTCCAGGCACCTGCACCCCAATGCAAGCTGCCCTGGGCCTTACCTGCGATGGTGTAGACAGCCGTCACCACCAGCAGCATGGCCGTGGAAAGGTACAGGTTCCAGCCCAAGGCTATCTGGATGAAGAGGGCTCCAGAGAAGATGTCAGTCTGCAGAGAGCCAGGACCCAGGAGCCCAGGTCACCCAAGGCCCTCACTGTGGCCACCAGGTATGTTTCCTCCTGCTCAGCGATACCAAGTGCTGTCAACCCTCATCACGTCAGGAGGCTGAGCCTAAAGCGCCACAATGAGGAGGATGGACTTGACCCTGAAGATGCTGAGGACCGTAGAGATTTTCAAGCAAAGGAGCACCGCATAAATCTTTGAGACCAAGAGCAACATAGTCTGGTGGCACTGAGGGGATAGTGGGCCGTGATGGCAGGGGGGCAGGGATGAAGAGAAGATAGAGGAGAGGAAACAGGGAGCAGGGGCTGGAGAGAGAGAGCTGGCACCGAGAGGCTCCCTGACTATTCCCTGGCAGGGCAGAGGCCTGCCCAGCTGCCGGTGGGCCCAGGCTGACCAGACGGGGCAGGAGCCCCAGGACAGATGACCGCACTTCCGGAGGCTCTATGTGTTTGTGTTTATTACAGGATTCGACTGGCTAGAGGACAAGCTGACCTAGGCTTGTTTTCAGGCATTGGTGGACGAGAGGCTGTACAGTTTTTCCCATCTCTTGACCTGGCAACTCACGGACTCAGTCCCCCTCAGTGCCTGCTTGCCGATCCCTTTGCATGGTTGTCTCATGAACCCACCCCAGGGCTACTACGGGACGGAGTGCAAGGGCACCTGGATCCGGTAACAGGAACTTAACTTTGGTTCCAGTCCCAGGGCTCCGTTCTGTGTGGACACGGGTGAGCCGTCTGCCCTAGGTTTGTTTTCGGGGCATAGGTCAGAGGAGGAAGAATAAGGACCTTTCTATCGGTAACATGCTAAGCAACCAATTCATGGTGCTGAACGGAGGACCAATTAATGGAGAGAGCAATGAATGAATGCACTCTAGATTATGAATTCTTTAAATAGAGGGACTGTCATTTACTTAAGAGATATTTCTCATTCATCCATGATCACTCCACTGCTGAGGGAGAGCATGCATTGAAGGTATGTGGATTCATCCTTCCTCCCTTCCTCTCTTTCTCCCTTCCTTCCTTCTTTCCTCCTATCTATCTATCTATCTATCTATCTATCTATCTATCTATCATCTAGCCATCCATCCATCCATCCATCCATCCATCCATCCATCCCTACACCCAGCAGTAAGCCATGACTTAAGCTCAGTGTTTTCAGAGAGACAAGATGACCACACTGCAGTGGGTACTCACCGAAATCTTGGTGAAGATGTAGAGGATGAGGGAGAGGACAGACATATACACCTGGATCCTCTGGCCCCCGAATCGCTTCTTCAGGTACTGTGGCATGGTGACCACACCAGCAGCAATGTACACGGGGACAAAGATCCAGCCCAGGGCCAGAAGCAGCCAGGTTGCCTGGGAGAGCGGGGAGAGCAAGGTACCCATGTCCTAGATGCAGATGGAAGGGCAGCCCCCTACCCCACGTCATGCTGTGAGGGAGCCCTGAGCTGGGAGGCGAGGGACCTGGGACCTGATTTTAGTGCTCTGTAACCTCTGAGTCGCTCTGCCTCTCCCAGGCCTTGGTTTCCTCATCAACCCATAAAATGGGTTCTCGATTTACCATACAGCCTCTCCAAGCACCTCTGAGGTTCCTCTAAGCACTAAAGCCAGGGATGGGGTGGGGTGGGGGTTGTGGGGGGGGCGGGGTTCAGACACCCATTATCTCTGAGAAACCTCCCCACCAGCCTCCTCACGTTCCATTCGAAGCCCCCAACGGCAAGGCCTCCTGCAGCTCCTGTCCCAGCCAGGCCGATGAACAAGCCACTGCCCACATTGCTGGACATCAGAGAGGCCCCGATCTGCAAGACACAAGTGGGGTCAAAGGTCGGGGTCAATTTTAATCCAAATTAATTTATGACCAGGATCATGAACTTCAGTAGCTGTGAACAGAGCAGGGCCTCGGCTCAGCAAATCAGAGGAAGGAGAGGAAGTAAAGGAGCAAAGAAGAGGAGGGATGGAGGTGACATTTATTGGGTACCTACTGTATGTGGACCCTGGGTGAGGCGTTTAATATGCAGTAGTATGCTTAGTCTTCGTAAATATTTCAAAGGATAGGTTTAATCTTTTCAATTTACGGAGGAATGAAATAGCGTTCGGAAAAATGGCTCCAGGGCACCCAGTGAGTGAGTGGCCAAGTGGGAAAGGAGGGAAGCCACGAGGAGCCGGGCCACGTAGGGAGGACAAGGCTCTGCACTAGGGCCATCCATGTAGGGGCCTGCAGAGACATGGATGCTGAGGAGAGGAGGGGAGGGCCCCACAGAGGGACTGGGGGAGGCCCTCTGCCACCTAGAGCCTCCAGCACAAGGCCAGGCAGAGGGAGGAGCCGAGGGGCTGAGCACAGGCTGGGCCAGCCTCCGAGTTGAGGTCATTTTTCCCCGGGAGGCAGCCAACTACTCTGAGGCAATGGACACAATAATGTAAGGATGACACCATAGCCGTTAGTATGTAAACAGCATTGCCCAGTGCCAGGCACTGCCCTAAATGTGCTAACTTGGGGCGCCTGGACAGCTCAGTCGGTTGAGTATCTGACTCTTGGTTTTGGCTCAGGTTAGGATCTCACGGTTCATGAGCTGAAGCCCTGGTTGAACTCTGGGCTGACAGTGTGAAGCCTTCTTGGGATTCTCTCTCCCTCTCTTTGCCCCTCTCCTGCTCTCTCTCTCTCCCTCTCTCATTATCTATACACACACACACACACAAACTGATGCAAGCCTCACCACAGCCCTGTGTGGTAAGTCCTATTATTATTATTCCCATTTTACTGAGGAGGACACCAAGGTACAGATAAATGATTGCCCACGTTCCAGAACGAGTAAGCAACAGAACTTTTGAACCCTGGCTGTCTGGCTCCAGTAATTAGTATGCGATTGTTGCTGGGCACCTAATAAGCACTCATTAGTGTTATCTTTTATTATTTGATGGGATCCTTTCCTGGATGGGAAAGGGGCAGAGGGAGGGGCTCTGGGACCTGGGCAGAGGCAGGACGGGGCCGGTGGCCAAGAGCTGTGCTCCAGCCTTGCGCCCTGTATCATTTTAATAAAATCACTTCCTCTTGCAAGCCCTCAGATCCTTCACCTGTAAAATGTGGGGACTCACCTGCTCCCACTCACTGCCTGTTCTCGAGGTGCTGGACGGTAGAAGTGAGAAGGAAGGAAAGGTACTGAGACATTCAGAAAACAGACACCCGAGCAGCAGAAGGGCACAGAGATTCCGACTGGCCTGACATTGCTTCTTGCTGAAGCCACTCCGTGCGGCTGTGCACACATACACGCATGCACACACATGCACATGCACACACATGCATGCACACACGTGCACATACACGCACACACGTGCACGCACACACATGCATGCACACACGTGCACATACACGCACACACATGCATGCACACACGCGCACACATGCACACACCCATACACTCCACAGTCCCGGGGACGCTGGCAGGGCTGGGCTGGGGCACCTCGGCCCCACTCAGCCCAGGGCTCCCAGTTCATGACTGGAGGGGTTGTCAGTCAACAAGGTTGGGGGGGGACACGGATGCTGCTCCCCCTTCTGCTCTTGGCTTCCCAGCCACACACTCCCCTCAGGGCACAGAGAGGGGAGTGAGGCACTTCTCGGGACTGGCCTGGTAGGGAAGGGCGCACAGCTATGGGATTTGCATCACAGATACCCAGACACACAGACATGCGGGCTCGTTTCACCAACGGGACCAAGCCGAGCAGGTTGTGCGCCGGCCCCAGCAGAAGCCCCGCCCCACTGAGGGTGCCCGTCTCCACACCCCACTCGTCGGGGGCGGCACCCTCCTCCCGCTAGGAAGCCTCAGGTTTCCTCACACCTAAAGTGAGACAGAACATCGCATGGAGCAGGGAGATGTCCTCTCCGCGGGACCGGACCGGCACCAGGCCAGCCGCTAGCCGCTCTCCCGGACGGACCAGGAGGCCCTCTGTCCTGCTTCCTGTCCCTCCTGCAGACTCCCCTCCGGGGCTGTGATGGGGGCGGGGGCCGGCTCCAGCTGAGCAGAATGCCCTTCCTTCTGTTGAGGGGATGGCTGGCAGGGACCAGTCACTGTCCCTGGGAGCTGCCAGCCCCTGGCCCCTCACACTCTGGGGATTCTGTTGTGCCAGAGGCATGCGAGCTCATGCCCCCACCTCCTCCTGTCCCAGATCCCGAACCTTCCAGAGAGCTCGCTCAGCGCGCAGGGACGCCTCTACTCTTCAGTGAGTCTGTCACCAGCGCAGGCAGGGAGAGGGCTGAGAACCAAGACAGGCTGTAGGGACGGCTGGTGGTGTGTGAGAGCATGCACGTGTGCCAGGCGTGTGAGCTGTGCGTGCCCAGGCGTGCACACAGCCTCAGCTACCAGGGGGGCTGACAACTCCACCCTGACTTTTCCCAGTAGGACTCCTCTCCCTCCGTCCTGTTGCAGGAAGTGGAAGTTAGTTTTGAGGACCAAGAGAAACAAGAGAGATGAGGCTCACAAAGGTGTTGGGATCCATTCCCTGAGGCTGCTGGAGATTTGACCTCTGTGACCCCCCTCACCCCACTGCTCTAGAGTACTAAGTGTCTCCTTCCCATGAAAGCCTTTGCTAATCTCACCTCCCCTGAGGTCAGAGGCTTCCTGCAAGTGCTCACAGCCCCTTTGCATCCCCGCAGCTCAGCATTCATCCTGTTTTCTGGGAGTCCATCAGCTCAGCGTATCTGAGCTTCTCCAGGACAGGAACATTCTAGATTATTTCTGTGGGTGCAGTGTCCAGCCTACGGTATGCAATGAGCACACACCTATCCGAGGGGCACATTAGTAAGGTCTCTCGGGTTACGGGGTGCCTTTGGGCCACCGAGAAGGAGCCCCAGAGCCAGGAAACTTAACTGGGGGGCTGCTGCCTTGGTCCAGGTAAGACAGGACAAGGATCGAATGATGGGAGGGGACAGGGAGGAAGATCAACTCACCGGCCACCAGCTCATGGACCTCCCCGCCAGGAAGTAGCCGCCAATGGTCCCTCGGCTTGCACGAATGGATGACTGGAAAGGAAGGGGAGAGAGATAAGCTCTCCCGAGCTCCCCCACCTCTGCCCCACCTCAGCTCCCCCGTTCCTGGGTGCAGGCACTGGGGTGACGCAGAGCGGGAGAACCCAGACTGCCAGTTTCACGGGTTTTATTCTACGTGCCTTTGAGAGGGTCACAGCCTCTCTCTGGGCTGAGCTCATCATTCATCCCCCTGGGCTGGTGCTCAGAGCAAAAGGGCCAACAGAGATTAAAGGCTTCGTGAACGGCACGGTACATGGCGAGTGTGCAACATTACGGCCGTTGTCCCCTTAGCCCTCCCTCTGGCCACACTGTCTGTGGGGAAGTGATTTGTGTCTGACTGTGAGGCCTGCGTGGAGCCCCCCTCTCCCTCCTTTCTGCAGGACTCCCACACGCTGGGGCTGGGGGCGCAGAGGGCCCAGCAGCCCCCCGCAAAGGTAGGGCTCTGTCTGGGGGGCTTCTCCTGCCCTGGCCCGAAGTCGGGCCACACTGGGTAAGCCTGTGCAGGAGCCCACACAGACCCCTGCCCCCGGCTGCTGGGTGGTGGTCTGCAGCCTGCTTGGGGGAACCGCTCTGAAGAACAAAAGGCGGGTGGACGTGAATGGACTTCCTCTGGGGACTCCGGGGCTGACAGCAGGGCCGTGGGCAGGGGAGCGGAAACTTGAAGACTTTATTAAGATGCTGAAGCCAATGGGTCTGTGATGAGGTCCAGAGGTGAGAGAAATGCTTGAAGGAGAGGAGGGAACAAGAGAAATGTGAAAGGAGATTCTTTGCCCCCAAGGAAAAGCCGACTACAGTCATCGGGGAGTGCTGGGGAGGGGAGGGACGATGTTTGTTGAGGCTTTGGTGACTTTCTTGTCACTGATGGTCTTTGGGCAGGGCCACGTGAATTCATTTCACAGGTAAGGAAACTGAGGCCTGAAGACAGGGAGCAACCTGTCCAAATTCACTGAGGACTTGGTTCTTCTCCCAGGAGCCAGTGATCAGCTGTTGGCCCTTTTCTGCTTCACCCCAGCCTTGGGAGGCACAGGCTATTCACCCTGCTCTGCAGATGAGGAGACTGAGGCCCAGGAGGGTTTGTGAGCTTGCCACGGTGACCAACTGGGTGGGACTCGAATCACCGTCCCCTGCCCGGCAGAGTCTGAGGGTGCTGGCGTGCTTCCTACATGCTGCCAGGTGCTTACATGTGTCCTGTTTCTCAGCGGTCATGACCACTCTACAGTGTAGGCTTTATTATTCTCACTGTCTGGATGGGAAGACTGAGGCTCACAGATGGTTGGGATGTGCCCAGGGCCCTGTGGCTCTAACAGTCGGGTTAGGATCTGAACTCAGGGCTCCCTGACCTCTCAGAGCCTGGCTCCTATTCCCGGCACCGAGGCTCAGGTGAACAATGGAGAATAGAAGGACCTTTGGACTCGCCTGGCTCCTTTCCCATGGGCACTTGAACCGTGGCTCCATTAGAAAGCCCTACTCCTTGCCAAGAAGACACCCACTAGTGAAGGGTGGGGTAGGCTGTGAGAGGAGCGTCCACAGAGCTGGCGATCTTGGCCTGAGGAGGAGGGCAAGAGTGGGGCTCGTGCCAGGAATGGGCGAGGCCAAAGGCAGCAGATGCATAGAGAGAGGGCGTTGGGAGATGGGGGTTCCAGCCTGGCCTGCTGCAGCTTGCTGTGTGCCCCCAGGCAAGTCACACCCCTCTCTGGGCCTCAGTCTGCCCGTCCATAAAAGAAGGGATTGGAGAAAATGATTCCTGAAGGCCTCTCCATCCAGTCCTGTGCTTCCTTGATCCGCCTTCCCCCTGCTCGCTCTGGCTCCGCAACCAGCCAGAGGTGAGAGCCTGCCCCTGCTTCCCCGCCAGGCCCCAACCCTCGGGCCCACTCACCCAGATCCCCACACCGATGACAAAGACGAAGTAGACGACCAGGACCCCTATGTCATAGGCATGTAGGCTGACTCCGGAGCCCAGCACTGAGGGTGGAGCTGTCGCAGTCCTGGCCCCACTTCCTGAAGCTCCGGGCCCCATTGCTGCCAGCGCCACGCTCCTTTGTTAGAGTGGCTCGCACCCAGCTGGACTTTGAGGCGCTCCTGGCTTCGTTCCTCTCCTGTAATCATTAAACAGCCCCAAGGGCCATTAGCTGCTGAGGAAGCTCTGAGCCCCACCAGCACGGAAAGTCCTGGTCCCCTTTTCTCCCAGCTCCCACCCCATCCTCTGCTGGCCCCCCTCCTTTCCCTGCCCCCAGTACATACACGCGCGTGCACACACACATGCACACCCGTGCACACTCCCACATCCGAGAGGAGCAGGAGGAAAGGAGTTGAGTCGTGGAATTCAGGAGCTGGGAGGGACTTCAGAATTTGATCTGTTCAAGCTCTGGCTTATGTGGAGGGGAAACTGAAGCCCAAGGAAAGAAAGGTCACACAGGCAAGGAAGATGGAGCTGGGCCTGGAGTCCAGGTTTCTTAGGAGTGAGTTCAACGCAGTTTTCCTTGCTCCCAGTGGGAGGGGGACAGGTGAGGAGAGGGGAGAGGGTCTGCTGTTACCCCGGCAAAGCCCCTGCCTTCAAGTGATCCCACCTCTAATCCCCCACCCCCGGGCACCCAGGGAAGACCATGTCCCCCAGGGCCCAGGCAGCCGCTGTCTAGTCCCAGAAGCACATCTCACTGAGCTGCAGGGTGACCACGGCCAGGTTACTAAGTGACTCTGGGCCTGGGGTCCCGTCAGCGAGGCCTCTGCCCTGCCCACCCTGCAGGGCCAGTGAGTGCCAGGCCTCCTCGCCTCCCCTCCGGAAGGTGCCCTCAGGGTTCCACTGCCCGCACACCCCAGCCCTCAGCCCCGTCCTCACAGACGTCCGAGGCCCAGCGCCCATCCTGCACATTTACCTAACCCTAACCCAGCAGGCTGGGCCAGCAGCAGCCAACCCTCTGACGCATCTGAGGCCCACCTGTTAGCCAGCCAGACATCTTAGCAGCCCAGAGCCAGGGGAGGGGGTGCCAGGAAGGAAACGAGAGAGGTTTTGAGACCTTCAGAATAGCCACCTTGAAGCTCTGCACGAAGCCCAGCCTCTGACATATCAGGGAGCCCCGATCCCTGCGCATGGGGTCTATTTTTGCTCTGCCCAGAGTTGTGTTATTTGTGCTCTGACTCACAGCAAATTAACAACAACAACTTAACAGCCTGGGAGAGGCTGCCAGAGGTGCACAGGGTCATGCAGGGCCCTCCCCCCACCCCCCGGGGTGACGGCCACTGATGGGTGCACAGCGCTCAGGCATCCTGACAACCAGGGAAAGTAGAAAGGCCGACACAGAAGACAGGCCACACTGGAGCAAACAGACCTACGAATTAGGCTCCATCAACTCTCAGCCAAGGGCATTCCTGACGGGCAGCCTGAGGGTTCATAGGCAAATCAATGCCCCAGAGATGCTTAGGAAAGACTGCAATGTGCCCATTATGGATTTTCTATCTAGACAGCGTGGATTATGAAATCCAGACAGGAAGAGTTTCATCCAAAATGGTCTGACATTTGAGGCAGGTGCTGGCAGGCCAGGAGGAGGCTCCGCTCATGCCGGAAATCTTCTGGGAGACCCCTGAGCCCCAGGATGTGGTCTCGGTGTGGCTCTCACAGCAAGCACACACCTGTTGCGCACCTGGCTCTGGGGGCCTGAGACGCCGACCCGCGTGCTCCCGGGCTGGCGGGAAAACAGCCGGGCACAAGGGACAAGGGCCTTTTGCACAAGGCATGTTAAGGCTCAGCCCCTCCTTCCGAGCTGCACAGCTCCCGGTGGGGGGGGGGGGGGGGGGGGGGGACCAGGTCCAGCCCGGGAGGCGGGACGGGCTCTCCAAGGAGTGCAGTAAAAGCAGCGCCGGCAGAAAAGGTGGACAGAAACCACCGAGCTGGCCTGGCAGCCACCCCTGAAAGGGTGGGAGCTGCAGGGACAGTGCTTACATGGAGATACAAGTGTCAAATGACAGACGGCATCAGACAGTACAGTTTCTGAGGAATGTCTGAACCGAGGCTGCGTTTTCAGAGTGGCAGCAGCGGCAGGGACACCATATGGCCGAGTTTCAGTCCGGGAGCGATGGAAGAAGTATGTCCCCCTGGACCGGCTGTTTAGGTCAGGTGCTGGACCAGGTTGCTCACAGGGTCCCCTTCCCTGCATGCTCTTTACTCCAAGTGTGTGTGTGGTTCGCAGTCAGTACAAGACCAGGCACCTTACTCCTGGTGGTCACAGCCTGTGTCTCCTGTAGGCTTCAGGCTGTGCCGTCACTGAAGATTCTGGAAACCAGAGCTCTGCTTGGACTCTTGGGGGCAGCTACTTCCTCTAGCCTATGGCTTTGTCTTCGAGGTCGCCACCCAAAGTGGCAGTTCCCTCAGACAGCTCACCTGGCCCCTCGCGATCCTCGCCAACCTCCCGCCACTTGGCTCACATCCAGCCATGCACAGGGCCCGTGGCCCGTGGCCCGTGGCCTCTCTACCCTCAGGCTCCTCACGGGCACACAGTCCGCAACTGTCACCGTGTCCAGGTTGTCCCACAGGCAGCCTGCTCATGTGAAGGTTCTTCCTCCCCCCCGTGCCCTCAGGGTTTGGGTCAGAATCCTTGCTGCCCGTAACCGGGTGCGCTTCCTGGAAGGGTCACGCTGCCGCCTCGCCCCCAGGTCTCCCGCGTGCTGTGTCCTCCTCCACCATCCTTACCCAGAAGACTTCTCTGATTCCCTAGCCTGGGGAACGTCCCCAAAGCCAACCTGTCCCCCACCATCCATCTCACTGATGTGGGCTTACTAGATGTGAGCCCCTCAAGAGACCTGGGTACCTTATTCCTGTTCATGTCCCCAGTGAGCAGCTGGAGCCACGTCAGTGCTTAAAGAGTGGAGGATGGTTTTAATAGACTGTGTTGGGGTGAGAGGCGCAGTGGGCAGTGGGTGGAAGCAGACAGGTTCTCCAGGCCAGGGGAGGGAGGAGCTCGCAGGGGAGTGTAAGCAGGAAATGGTTTGCCGTGGCTGGGCTGCAGCCTAGGGTCTGGAGGGAGAATGCAGGGGCGGGGGGCATGAGAAGAAGGGGGTGGTGAGACTGGCATTCTAGAAAATCCCTCTGGGGGCCAGCGTGGGGGCTGGGCGAAGATGAGGAGGCCGGCACAAGAGATGAGGTGGAGACTGGCATCTAGTTGGAAGGATGGAGAGGAAAGGGTCCTGGCTGTGTTCTTACCGAACTAGAGGTGTAGACCTCTGTGGCTTTCTCTCCCATGGGGTCCCTGCCCCAACCGTGGTGCCAGGATTCGGGATCCTCCACACTGGGGGCTCTTCCCTTCAACTCCCAGTGCCTACAAACCCTCATCCCTGCCACCGAGCCATGAATGAGAAACAGCCTTCAGACTGTCCCATTCCTGGCCAGGGTAGGGACGGTGGGAAGCCTTTGGCTAAGGGATTGAAGCACAAAAGGCGAGATCCTGAGTGTGAGCGATGAAATGCTGATGATACAACGTGAGCTGGGACCCCCCAGTTTCACCGTGCAACCAGGAATTTTCCATGTGGAAAGGACCCTCCCCTCCCTCTACTGCTTGGGTTTCCCTGTCTCCTCCAGCACGAGGGCCCAGAAAGAACCCTGGGCAGGCTCACTGGTACCTCTGGCTGGCCTTGCCCGGGCTGGCTGCTTGCAGGTTCTCCCTGAAAATCCACTCTTAGCCAACCTTCCCGCTGAGAACTTCCTCTTCTAGAACAATAGGGGTAAGGACTAAATTTGCCAGTACGTGCCAGAAGTATTGGGTAGGCAGAGCCCAAATATGATGGTAATTGTTACAGTAACGTAGGAATTGGCCTCATTATTTCTATTTTGTAGCTCATGGGGGATGTCCCATAATTATGGCTTATTTGGATTTTGAGTTCAGGCTTGATTCACTCTAAACACGACGCTACACACCATCCTTTTTTCTCCTAATCCTATGTCTACAGGGAGAGAAATGGAAGATGTATCCCGTCTGATGGAGGGGTGGAAATCTGCTCCATTTGCGCCCTCTGATGGGAGCTCTGAGCAGGGCGCAAAGATGGCTGGACCGGGGGGGGGGGGGGGGGGGGGGGGGGGGGGGGGGGGGCCGGATCTGGTTCCAGAGCCTCAGCCCCTTGCCGGCCACCCCAGCCCTCAGCCATCTTCCTTCCTGGCCACCTCTGCCCTGTCCCTACCAGGACTCTAGCTCTCAGCTCAAATGGCTGATGATTCCCGCCGCCGCTGCTCCACCCATGTGCCTATGATCTGACCGTTTCAAACCCAAATGCAACTCCATCTGCACGGAGTGTGCAAGGCCCTTTGTCAGGCTGTGTCACTGCACAGCTCCAGGGCACCTCTCCCCCAGAATGCAGGGTCAGTGGTGCCCCAGCTTTAGGGAAGGCTGTGCTCTCTGCAGTGGGGGGACAGGGTCCCGGAGAAGGAGCTCCGTGGAGGAGCCAACTACGTTGCCTGTGGAGACCAGGAGAGGCACTGGCTTCTTCCTGGCATCACCCCTCCCCCAGCCACCAAAGCGCAGAGGCTTCCGGAGTGCTCCCAGGTCAGGATCACTCAGCGGGAAAGGGTGGAGGCCTCAGGTGGCCAGGCTGGATGCTTAATTCCAAGGGGAAAGGATTATTACATAGGAAGAGCAGATGGAGAAGGATGGTGAGCCCCAGGGTTAGAGAAAGAGAAGGAAGAAAAAGAAGAGGGTTACAAGCTGCAGTCACTACAGGTGCACTCCTGTCAGACGGGGCCTGCCCCTACCTGTGCCGCCCGGCCTCCCTCCCGGAAGCTGCTCGGGCCGACTCTCAGCCTCAGCCTCCCGGGTCTGCTGCGCTCTGGCCTGGTCTCTGACGGCTCCAGTCCTGGTGGTGGTGGATGCGCCCTGCTCCTCCCTCAGGAGGGGCAGGGGGAGAGGCCCCAACTCTCTTCCAGCCACTGGGCCCCGTTCTGAGAGACCCCACTTGTCCTTTCCACTTGATGCTGTCTTGGGGAAATGAGAATTTGTGCTGCTCTCAGGGTTCTCAGGGCCCCCAGGGTCCGATGTGGGA